CAAAGAAAGAGAAAAAGGAGAACGTCAAGAAGAAGCAATGATCAAGAATATCAAAAGCCTCCAACATCTGTAGAGGGTTGAATGGTAACCCTCCCAAAAGATATGTCCACATCTTAATCTTTGGATCCTGTGAATATTACCTCATTTGGAACGAGAGACTTTGCGAATGCAATTAAGCTAAGGATATTGAAATGAAGAGATCACCCTGGATTATCCTAGTGGGTCCTAAATCCAAATGACAAGTGTCCTTATGAGAGAAAGGCAGGGGAAGAGTTGAGACAGACAGAAGTGGAAGAGGCAGTGTGACCACAGAGGTAGAGACTGGAGTGATGTGAAGGAATGCCAACAGCTACCACAAGCTGGAAGAGGCAAGGAAAGATGCTTCCTTAGAGCCTCCAGAGGGATGGTGGCTGTGCTGACACCTTGATTTTGGACTTCTGGCCTCCAGAATTGTGAGCGAATAAATTTCTGTAGTTTTAAGCCACCCAGTTTGTGCTAATTTGTAACAGCAGCTACAGGAAACTAAAAAAAATCTGAGAATAGATATAATTGATTTTGCTATTAAGAAGAAAGACGTTGGTGACATTTAAGAAAATAGTTTCAATACGGTGGTGCAGAAAAAGCCATATGCAAAGGTTGTTAAGGCAGAGGCTCCCAAACTGTCTCAGTTTATGTGGCTTTTTGTTTCTCAGTAAAGTTTTCATAGTGTTCCTAGGTCAGAAGAAACACTTAATTCAGTTTATTAAGTTGTCAGTTCTGTTGGAGAAGGTGATCAAGAGGAAGTGACTGCTGGTTTACCCATGAGCTGGACCCAGGCAATCAGAGGCTCCTCACCACCTCCCCTGTCCTTGGAATGTCTGCTCTGCCTACTGTTCCCACAGTGGGAGCCGTTCCAAGGACGTATCCTTGAGAGAGTAAATGTTGTTGAGACCATTTGGACGGTATACCCAACTGAACCCAGTTAAAGCCTCTATATAAACTTTTAAGATTCTGGTGGGCACGGGAGGAGATCTACTCATCTTGTGGCCACCAAGACAAGCCTCATAGATAAGTTCCCTTGCTTATTAAACCTGCCACCTACCAATCTAGAGTGCTCTGCCTCTTTCTTCAGTCTCTCGTTGCCCTCCATTTACGAGGCTAGTTTGTGAACCAACAAGTTTCAAACAACTTAATCAGTATTTATGTACTAGCAACTTAGTAGCTGTTGAAAAAGTAATACACATAAATTGAAAGAAAAAATAATATTTGATTTTATTTTTAAATAATCACCATTGCTTCCTAATGGGATGCATGCACCTGTTACACACTACACAACTTCTTAAACTTTGAAATTAGATTGGACACCAGCCACTGTCATTTCCTGTTCCACATTGATTTTCACTCCGTAGTTGCTTTTTATCACAGTAACCACTACAAAGCCAGCTTTTCAAAGATATGACATTATGGAAAGAAATGTAGAGTGATCTAATGTTGAAACCATAAACTATCTCCAGCTAGTATTCTGTGTGGTGTCAGGAAGATGTCAAGTATCACCATGTTTCCCTCGAAAATCTACAATATCCCCCAGGCACTCTTGAGTTCACCGTGGTTGGGGCACTTTGGCACACAGTTTGGGAACCGTGGATTTAAGGAGTGAGAGGTGAGAAAGTGTATATAGAAAGTGTAGACGATATTTATAAGATGTTTAGTAGGAACTTAGGGAAGGAAAGCTAGAGGATATTCAGAAGATTAGCAAAGATATTCTAAAGTTAAATGGAGAAGCAACAAAAATTAAAAAGATATCCTGAACTACATCAAAATTAAAAACTTCTGTGCATCAACGCACACAATCAACAGAATAAAAAGGAAACCTACAGAATAGGAGAAAATATTTGCAAGTCATGTATCTGATAGGGAGTCAATCTCCAGAATATAGAAAGGACTCCTACAACTCAATATCAAAAAACAAAACAAAAAAAACAAGCCAGTTTAAAAATGGGTAAAGGACTTGAACAGACATTTCTCCAAAGAACATATACAAATGGCCAACAAATATATGAAAAAATGCTCAACATCACTAATCATTAGGGAAATGTATATCAAAACCACAATGAGATACCACTTCACACCCATTAGGATGGCTAATATGAAAACAAATCAAAACAGAAAATAAGTTTTGGTGAGAGTGTGGAGAAACTGGAACCATTGTGCAGTGTTGGTGGGAACGTAAAATGGTGCAGCTACTACAGAAAACAGTATGGAGCTTCCTCAAAAATATTAAAAATAGAATTACTATACCATCTAGCCATTCCACTTCTGGGTATATGCCCAAAAGAATTGAATTGAAATCAAGGACTGGAACAGATATTTGTACATCCCATGTTCATAACAGTATTATTCACAATAGCCAAAAGGTGGAAGTAACCCAAGTGTCTATCGATGGATGAATGGATAAACAAAATGTGATATACACATACAACGGAATAGTCAGCCTTAAAAAGGAAGGAAATTCTGACACATGCTACAGTATGGATGAATCTTGAGAACATTATGCTAAGTGAAATAAGCCAGTCACAGAAAGAAAAATACTATATGATTCCACTTGTATGAGGTACCAAGGGTAGTCAAATTCATAGAGATAGAAAGAAGAATGTTGTTTGCCAGGGCCTGGGGTTGGGTGTGAATGAGGAGTTGTTAAATGGAAATAGAGTTTCAGATTTGCAAGATGAACAGAGTTCTGGAGATTGGTTGCACAACAAGGTGAATATATTTAACACTACTGAACTGTATACTTAAAAATGGTTAAGATGACAAGTTTTATGTTATGTGTATTTTATCATAATTTTTTTAAAGTTAAGAGGAGAAGTTATATGATTGGGATCAAATTTAAGATGTAAACATTAAAGATTAACTAAAGGAGCAGGATTTCTACTACAATCTGTTCTCTTAAATAGGTATTACTAGTACTCTGTATGTTCAATAAACCATTTCTCCAAAGTTAGTACAATGCCAAACTTTCAACTTTAGCCCAATCTGAAATAAACAACATACATAACAAATTAGTGAGATTTAAGTATACTGTCAATATTAACCATAAACATTTTCGTAAAGCAACATCCTATGAAAGCATCAAGAATCCATTTTTTGCACATACATAGAACATAGTAAAATAGAGAAAATTATATAACTATATGTAGAAATGTCGATGGACAGTAAAAAAGATAATTTTGGCCATGTTCTTTACAGCTTAGCAAATATTTTTCTCCTCTCAGAGTCCCTCTTTTGCTCAGAGGAACTTTTGCTGTTTCAAAAACAATGCCCCCAAAGTCCATGCAGCTTTTAAGTCAAAGCACCATACTGGCAGAAAATAGGACTTTCTGGAGGATGTCAGGGTGGTCCCACCCAACCGAAATGGACTTTTCTCCTCCTCGGGGCTGAGAATACAGTGGTCTCTTCTAAGCATGAATATGGGAGTTATTTTTTCTCATCAGTACTTTTGAGCAATACCAACTTCCTTAAGCAACTTTCCCTAGTCACCAGGACATGAATCAGTCAAAAAATTGCAGTTGAACTCTGCAATTTTCTCTGTGCTCAGCAACGCAATCAAAACTAGTAAATCAGGGTGAACTGTTGTGTCAGGAATTTGGTTAGAACGAAACTCCTCCCTACATTTCTTAAATCCAAACCAGTCACAAAACTCAGATTAAATTATGCTTATTCCGGAATAAGGGGATCTGTTTGAGAAATAGAGTTTAGATAACAAGGAACAGAACATAGCAACCATGTTTGCTATGATCTTTATAAAGAAAAACAATTGCAGGCCTGCTAGTTAATAACTAATTAAAAATACATTGTATTTGAAGAGTGATTTTGTTAACTTGTCCTTCTATTATTGGCCTGAACAAAGTATTTGCTGATAAACAGATTGCAATTTTGTACGTTTGTCAATTCAAGGCCCTTGAAACAAAAGACCCAGCTTTCTACCTAGGAAACTACAATCTAGGAGTGGTAGAAAAACAGTACAAAAATAACTTCTAAAATTATCCTTAGAAAGGGAAACACATGTTCATAAAAACAAAACACGGAAAAGAACTTTTAGTAATATCTGCTGTTACCTTAGGAATTTATCCAAGTGAATCATGAATAATTACTTGATCAAAGAATAAACAGCCAATCTTAAGCAGAGCAGTAGGGCTGGTCCCACGGCTTAGCAGTTAAGTGCGCGCTCTCTGCTGCTGGTGGCCCTGGGTTCTCGGATCCCAGGCGCGCACCAACGCAGGGCTTCTCCGGCCATGCTGAGGCGACGTCCCACATGCAGCAACTAGAAGGATGTGCAACTATGACATACAACTATCTATTCCAGCTTTGGGGGGAAAAAAAAAATAAAACAGAGCAGTATTACAATTTGCAATGGTAAAACTGACTAGGAAGGAGTACTCAAATTAGCAAATCTCCTCACGCTGTGGCTATCTCTTTCTGGAATGAAGAGAAGGGAAGATTTGGTCTCTAAATGGGCCCAACTTCAAAAAGAAAAGGTAAGTCAATTTAAAAGCGTGGGAAAATTTGATGGGAGCCGCCTATATATTAATTCCCATTTTAAAAAATGGGGCGGGGAGTGACCCATCACATTAAACTGTATAGATTACCGGAAGAGTTAACCGAGGACACTGTGCACATCTTTTTTAAGCTGAACGTGTAGGTTCAGTAAAATGGTTATTTCCATTTTTGAGCATCCTTTTGCTAAGCCAGCAAAGGACGCTGTCGGTGGGGTCGCTGACGGGCAGACACCAGAGGGCAGAGCCACCCTGCCGGCTCTGTGGCGTGTCACCACTGTGGAGCCGTAAGAGCGGCGGCCAGTGCCGAGGGCGGGGACCCCCGCAGAGACCTGGCGGCGAGCGCGGGAGGCGGGGACCAGCAGCCACGCAGCCTGCAGACCGCGGGGGCGACGGGTACGCACGTGGACGCCGTGGGCCTCGGGGGCGGGGCGGCCGCGGGTCGCAGGCCGATGACGTGGCGGGGCCGGCGGAGGAGCCGCCACTTCCTGGAGCTGCCGGCCGGGGCCGCTCGCTGCACTCAGCGCCGGAGCCGGGAGCCTGCGGCTACCGCCATGTCCCACCAGACCGGCATCCAAGGTAACGGCGCCCGGCGCGGCCCGCGGGGAAGGGGCTCCCGGGAGGACCCGGGCGAGCCGGGCGGGCTGCGGGGCGGGCAGGGCCGGAGTCGGGTCGGGAGCGCGGGGAGGTGGTCTCACGGGGCGAGCCGGGCCTCGGCGCCTGTCCGCGCTCCCGTGTCCCGGGCGCTCCCGCCTCGCATCCCTCCCAGCCCGGGCCCGGCCGCCGCCACGTTTCCGACGGACCCGAAATTCGCAGGAGCGGAGGAACTTGGTTTGCGAGGCGGCCGGGGTGAGGGGGGCGTGCCTTCCACCGTCCCCGACGTTGGCCTCGCTTTCCCCTTTTCCATCAGGTAGGGAAGACCTGGAGCGTGGAGGCGGCTGGGGCTCCTTTTGCTTCGAGAGACGGGCCAGTTTTCCTTTTCACGGTCCAAAGGAGATGGTTACAGGATTTTGATTATGAAAAGAAAGTTGATAGAATCTTTTTTAAGTTTCTAGTAAAGGTGCTTCCCAGACTCTTCCGCGTTTTTTTCCATAATGGGAACATGGACTGTGATCTCGGTCTGGGTGTTTGATCTTCTTCTTAGATCAAAGTATCCCAGGGACCTGGAAAGTCTTATCTATGTGGCTGCATTTAATCATCCCGTGCTGGCAGTTGAAGGTGCAATTATATCTGACCTCCATTATTTCCTGGTTTGAAAATGGGCAGTCTGGAAGCGCTCACCTCATCAGAATCAAATAATATATCCCGGGGTTACTCGCGATCGCTTAACGAGTTCTAATATAAACCCAAGCTCTTCCTGTTAATAGACAACGAATCTTTGCCCCAGATGAACACTTAATTCCGTTTTGTTCTTAAGAGCCTTGGACACCACCCCACACGTCCCCCTGCTCACACAAACACAAACAAAATAGTCTCAAATCTGTAAGCACTGTTTTATTTGTCCGCGATAGTTTTGATATTTAAATATGTAAATATTGACTTTCATGCTTGAGCCTTATAGCATGCACTACTTAAATAGTGGTTCTTGCTGTCAATATGCAACCCAAGAATGAAATTGAAGCTTTAATAGGGACACTAGGGTTAGATTATTAAATATATATTTGCTCAGTGAGCTTACTCCAGCTTTTTGAGAAATATAAATTACAAAAGTATAACCAGAAGTATAAGATTGAATGCATTTTATTGATTTTCCTTAATCAGGATGGGATATCTAATATTTACTGTTGTTTTTAGTGGGAAAATGTAGAAAATGAATTAATGAAGGAGATGTCTGTTTACCATAAGCTTGATATTGGACTAAAAGAGAATGAAAGCAGATTTTCAACATTTTTCAAACAAAGATGTTTTTCAGAATTGTAATTTGTTCATTATTGGGTTTGAATACTTTAATGTATTCACTCCAGTGTTATTTCTGTGATGGAATTATCTAGCTAAAACAGATTAGAATTAATACTAATAATAGTTTTAAAATATGTTATTATTTATATTTTTTAGCTGTATACAATTTTTATGTTTTATAATTGAAATTACTGATAAGAAGATGCTACATATTCAAGATTTTTTTTCTTTGTATTATAGTTCATTTTTTCCTCATTTAAGTAGCATTAGAAAGTATTAATACATAAGTATAAAAAATAGGTTTATTTTTTTTTATCTTTTTCCACAGCAAGTGAAGATGTTAAAGATATTTTTGCCAGAGCAAGAAACGGAAAATACAGACTTCTGAAAATATCTATTGAAAATGGTTAGTTATACATTTTAAAATATTGTTTGTCCATGGATTATTGGGTGTTATATTTTTAAACTTCTAAGTTGTTGTCAGTGATTTGAAGCATTAAGTAATGTGAAGCAAGTTCAAAGCTTGCATTTAGGTAACTTGGATCTTATACATTTTGAGCATGTCCCATGGGCCCCTGCTTACCTTCTGAATCCTATAGCCATCAGGGAAACAGAAAGATACTGTTTTTGGTGTGACATCTTCCTCTTTTATTTTTTTGTGTCTCAGTTTCTGCACCACAATCCATTTCTAATGTCAGTGCTTCCATCTTTGGAATGGAAATCAGTAAACAGGTGATTATCCAAACAAATAGTTACTTATGAATTGTTATTCAGTAAAGTTAGTTTTGAAGTAGAAACAAGGGATTTCAAACTCTCCCATTTTCTCCACTTGATTGCAGTCTGTGCCACAGAAATGTTCCCCTTGTTTTGGGAAAGTCCTGAGAAGCTAACAAACTAAATTGATCCTTTCGGAATAATTCTGTAAGCAGGGAAATTGGTTAGGTGGGAGAATCTTTTCATACGAGTAAATCTGAATTTGAACAATTAATATTATAACTGCTTAATCACGAATGAATATGTTAAAATATTCCATTGGCCTAATTTTTTAAATACCTTGAAATATTTTGCTTTGGAAAAATAACTTGTTCTTTTATAACCTGAAGTAAATCTAATTTGCTTTCCATTTTCTACTTTTATATTAAAAATACCAGAATAGTTTGAACAATATGCAGTTGTTCTACTTATATTACCACACTTTAACAGGAATAAACATACACTGTAAGCAGCATATTTTAGAAATACTGAGCTAAAATTTTAAATGCCATCACTTCCTGAGTAGTTAAGTAACTAAAATGAAAAAGTTAATCTCTAACTAGCATCTCTACTGAAGGAAAATGATGCTACTCCTTAAATCATTATTTTCTGGTTTTAGTTTATTTTTGCTTTAGGAAAATTTTTTAAATAAGGAAATTACAAAGAATAAATAATGTAACAAATACGTCCATCTCCCCTTAAATTAATAACTGCTAACGTTTTATCATATTTGTGTCAAGCCTTTTTAATTTAATGTTTTTGTGATATAAGAGCATCCACGTTAAATAATTTCACTTCTGGACCTCCTTCTCTTGAGGCAACTATTTTAGGAGTTTTTATATTTGTGCAATCTGTTTTCTATATGTATCCCTAAATAACATACAATGCTGTTTTGAGTTTTTAAGTTCACATAAACTGACATCTCACTCTGCATCTTTCTTTTTTCTGTAAACCTCATTTTTTGTAATTAGGTTTGATAGAGAACTCACTACATCTTTTAAAATATGAATAGAATTTTATCATATGACTATGCCACATATTATATGCCATTCTCTTATTGATGAACATTTAGGCTATTTTTGGTTTCCACTGTTAGTATATAGTGCTGCAGTGAACACTTTGTGTGAGAGACTCTGTGCAGAGTACATTCACAATTTTACTTGATTGCCAAATAGCACCTCAGAGTGCCTGTACCAATTTATGCTTCTGGGCAAATTTTAAAACTTGAAGCATTATGGCCAAATAGGAGCTAAACCTGTTTTTTTAAAAAATATTTCTTACTGTAGAGTTCAATGTTAATTTGAGAAATTATACCTTTGAGTGGTAGTATGCTTATTTAAATATATTTTGTTGTTAACTTATAGCATAAAACATTTTGGAAAATAGAATATAATCACCCATTCTTCAACCATCCATTTCAATTGTTTATGATCCTTTTTATATGTTCCTTTCTAGTACTTTTATATATATAACATTATTTTAACCATGCTAGTGGTAAAAATCTTCATCTGTTTTAATACTACTTTATATCATAATTATTTTATGTGTTGCAACCTTTTTCCTTTGAACTTATTGATGTGAATAATAGTAATTAGGAAATAACTATATATTAATTTATTCTTCTATTCTTTATTACTCCACCATTTGGTATTTCAACATATTCATGTATTTTTTAAAAATTGTTTTTTGTAGAGAAACTTGTGATTGGATCATATAGTCAGCCTTCAGATTCCTGGGATAAAGATTATGATTACTTTGTTTTACCCCTGTTGGAGGACAAACAACCGTGCTATATATTATTCAGATTAGATTCTCAGAATGCCCAGGGATATGAATGGATATTCATTGCGTGGTCTCCAGATCATTCTCATGTAAGTAATTTTTTTGTACCTTGTTTAATGTTAAATGCTAGAAAATTTTTTTCTGAAACAGTCCTAGGCCAAGAGAAAGTTTAGAGGCAATAGTCATTTCCCATAGAAGGGAATAATCATGGAGAAAAATCCTTGGATTGGTAATGTGGAATCAGGAGTAATGTGCTTAGATTCAGAAGTCTTGCTCTTGAAATCAATAGAATTATTATTGAGTTTTTAATTTAAAAATTTGTGGCAATTATAAATGACTCTATGGACCTCTGAAGAATAAAGCTAACTACTTTGAGAGTAATAATTGTAATAATTCTGAGGACTAATTGAACATTATATCAAGTATTCTTGATAGATACCATTCAGATGATGGGCATGTACACAAACAAGTATTTCTTTTAGGGAAGTTAGAAGACTCACTAAATAAAACAAAAGACAAAATTAATATATGGATACTGGCCAATATTTTAAAGATTAATTCTCTTGTTTCTCTTAGAAAAATAATAATTTTTAAAGTTATCTAGATATCATTCACAAAATTCATCCCTCCTCTTTAATTCCATATATACTGTCTGAAAGAAATACTGGATTTGACCATGTAGGATTATGAAATGATTTCTGTTGGTTGGCAGTTACCTTTAGTAGTTTTCATACTACTAAAGATAACATTTAGCATTTCCGTAGATGCTGTTAGACTCGTTAATAACCATATGTATTAATTCTTTCATCTTTGTGTCCCTTATAGAATGATGGCATCGCTATGCTATGAATATTTGATTCTTAACTTAATTAGTAATACCTGATCTAGATTTGATTTGAGTAAAATGTCAGTGTCAAGGTTACTTAATTTCAGTGATGTTTCCTCTTCATATTTTAAAGTAGTGTTTTACATAGTTTTTTAATTCTTGAACTCATTTTATACTTTGAAAAATGAGTAATTTTTTTAAATTTAGATTTTTTTCACTTTTTGAAAAATATCTCATATTATAAATTGAAATTACCTTAATAGCCATTGATATTTTAGTTGCTGGTGTTATGATGGTTATTTATACACACATACTTTAGCATATTACAGTCAGTGACTTCAGCTTTATCACAGTTTATTGTATTTTTAATGTGCTTGAAGATTTTAATACATTCAGAAAATGCTTTATTTTATAATGATAGTTTTCATGTATAAACTTCTAAGTAAACTTTCACAACTTACTAGGTTCGTCAAAAAATGTTGTATGCAGCAACAAGAGCAACTCTGAAAAAGGAGTTTGGAGGTGGCCACATTAAAGATGAACTATTTGGAACAGTAAAGGTAAAAAACTTACACTTTTATGTTGATTCTATATGTTGCAGTTAAAATGATTAAAGAACTCCTAGGTAATTAATGTGAATTCAGAATGATGAGTCTGTAAACATAATAAGAGAGAAAATATTGTTATATTTCATATGATATGCAAGTAAACTGAAATGTACTTATACTTTTAAAATATGTTTGAATCTCCTTTGTTAGATTTCAGAAATTAGAGTATAGACTTCAAGAACTAAAATATACCTTAGAGATCATCTAGTTCAACTCCTCATCTAGCTCAACCTTTTCATTTTAAGGATAGGGAAATGGGCTCAGAAAAATGACAGACTACTTGAAAGAGACAGTAAATTTTAGGTGTTTTGGACGTTTATATCCATGTTGTGGAAGCAGTGACTATATTATGTTAACCAGAACATTGAGGCAGATAAATTGGTAATTGGGATAATTAGTTTCTTAATTAATAAATTTAAGTAGTTAAATTATGGTTAAGAATTTACTTTGTTATAAAATTTATATGGTAAATACATATATTTGTACATAGACAAATTAAGAAGATCGAAATATATTTTTTGAACAGGTTTTTTTGTTGTTTAAAGCTTTTCTTCTGATTCAGAAAGTAATACAATCTAGTGGATACAGCACAAGACAAGACTAGATGGGAGTACTTTGCTTGTTCACCTTTAATTGTAAGATGGCCTAGTTTCTCAATTCTGTCTTCCAAACTACGAAGTTTGGATGAAAAGTAGACGTCTTTGGAATTTCTTTTTCTTTTAAATATGAACTATAACCATTTTCTCTGAATAATTATAGAGAAATTATATAAATTATTATAAAATAGAATTCAGAATCTGAATATGTTGATTGTTAAATAATTATAGGGCAGGCTTCCCCAGAATGTTAATTATTAATTGTCCTGTAGAGTGAAGCATGACGAGATTCATCATGTGGCTGGCATCACCAACACCATACTCATACAAAAGATTTAGTAATTATAAAACTTTATCAAATGAAGAGTAAATACTCCCCTTAAAAATGTTTGAAACCTAGACAATGAAGGATTTAAAAAAATGAGAAGAAATAGTAACATTCTTGGTACAATTTATTTTCAATTAAGATATTTTCTTTTCTGTTAAATTAATAATTTTGTTTTTCCTAAAGTAACCTCACTGAGGTTTCACTTCTAAAGAATCACTCATAACAGTCCATTTCTGTGCTTATAGGAAGATGTATCATTACATGGATATAAAAAATATTTGCTGTCACAATCTTGTCCTGCCCCATTGACTGCAGCTGAGGAAGAATTACGACAGATTAAAATTAATGAGGTAAATTACAATTTTGAAACCCTTGCGAGATTTTAAGTGTTTGGAAATACCATATTTTTAATTTATAGATGTAGAGGTAGCTAGAGAAATTAAGTTAGGTGGCTTACATTTATTCTGTTTAGTATAGAGACAAGACTATATGCTCAATATGTTTTCAGGAAAAAAAGCTAAAAATGAATATTACACTTCATGTCAATTTCATAAACAGCTTTCTCCTGTCTTTATAATGTATGTGACAGAACAGTGAATCTTCCTGTTGGAAGTACAACTCTGTTTTTAACTTTGTACTTTGAATACTAAATAAATGGGGAAAGTCTGTGTTGCCCACTTAGTACAAAGAATATTATAGCTAATGAGGTTGCCTGAAGCAGGTTTGTTGTGTTGTTTCAGAGAATAGTGATGACTAAAGAGAATAAAATATAAATACTGTAGGATGTTTAGGATTTCTAGAAGCTCTATAAATTAACTTCCTTGAACACTACTTGGATGGGTATGTGCATTTATATATGGGAGATGGTTATTTGAGTACTTGTTTAGCATATTAGAGTTAATAAATTTCATCCATATTATAGTTTATCATATTTTTAATGTGTTTACTGCAGCCGTTCTCATTACAAGTTAGAATAGCTACTGTATTTCTACTGGGATTTTACAGAAAACAAGTAGCAGAAACTGCTATTCACTAGTCTAACAGACTAATAGGTATCAGTCTGGAAAGTGATTGAATATTATTTAATGTTAACCTGATAGCAAGGATCTATCTTTATATTATTTTAACTCAAGTTATTTGAGTAGAGATTTTTATGTGATTTTTTTTTTTACAAATTTGATAGTTTGTTTTATTCCTTGCAATCAGAACCCAGAGGATCGTATTGGGGTATGCATTTGCATATGTTTTATGATGTTTTCATTATCCGATATCATTTATGCTGTCGAATCTCCATGCATTTTTTTAAAAGTAAAATTTCAGTTTGACTTTCTGTTGCAACACTGCAAATGAGACCCTCTACTAGCTATCATTTATCGAGTATAAAATTCTTAAACATGTGCCTTGAAAGCTTTCTTGAAGTACTCTGTTCTTCCAGTACATGCACACCCGTGTTCTTGGTAATAAAGCTATAAGTCTGGAATTTCTGCAGTAGTATAATTTGTTGAGCTATGTTGTGTCTTTATATACTGTTTGTATTCCTTTCAATTCAGTGCATGATGTTTATGTTGCATTTTATGTCTAACAGAACAAAGTAAAGTTCTGTACATATTGTATAGATATCACCCTGTTCATAAATTTTATTAAGTAAAGTTTTGTAATTAAAGGTGTAATCTGAAGACACTTCAGAGAGCTTATGTAGCTCAGTGCAATTGTGCCAAACCAAACATATAAACAAACAAAACCCCCAAAGCCCCGCTAGCGCTGTACACTCACTCAAATGTTCACTCCCAGCATTTTCATAAAGATGTGTCATGCACCCTGCATGTTGACAAAGTGCTAGCAGAACATGCACAAATGTGAAAAATTATTTACTTTTTAAGTTCGTAGTGTTTTAAGTGTTAATTTTAATTATATTAAAATGGGCAAGAGTGGAATGACACTCATTTATAGAGGTTGGGTTTTTTTATCTTTGCCATCTGACACTGCTAAATGCTAAAACTTCATCAGTAAATTGAATCTGTCATACTTAGGTACAAACTGACGTGAGTGTGGACACTAAGCATCAAACACTACAAGGAGTAGCATTTCCTATTTCTCGAGAAGCTTTTCATGCTTTGGAAAAATTGAAAAACAGACAGCTCAACTATGTGCAATTGGTAAGAGACATAATGATTATTATGAAATGGCTGCTCTTTTTGGTAGCTTGTGGCTTGTATAAGGTTTATTTTTGAAGAACTTAAAATTTTTTTATTTGCTTCCTGATTATTCTTTATTCATTTTTTTAAACTACAAAAGCAATATATGTTCATGGTGAAAAAGTCAATCCTGTATAAGTTTCCCCTTATTTCTTAATTTTTCATTATAAATTTTAAATTTCTGTGTATCTGTTTTAGTGAATGTATTTTGTTTCTTATTGACAGGAAATAGATATAAAAAATGAAATTATAATTTTGGCCAACACAGCAAATACAGAACTAAAAGATTTGCCGAAGAGGATTCCCAAGGATTCAGCACGTTACCATTTCTTTCTGTATAAACATAACCATGAGGGAGACTATTTGGAGTCCATAGGTATATGATACATTATTTTTAACATGGTAGTTTCAGTTTGCTTATTGATATTTCAGCATTGTATTCTTAATTATTTATTGCCCAGAGGGCTCAGTTGTAGTTTTATGAGGTTTAGTGTTTACTTTAATTGACATGCTGCTAATTGTATTTATTATTATTTTAACTTACAGTTTTTATTTATTCAATGCCTGGATACACATGCAGTATAAGAGAACGGATGCTGTATTCTAGCTGCAAGAGCCCTCTGCTAGAAATTGTAGAAAGACAACTACAAATGGATGTCATTAGAAAGGTAATTGCCTACCTGTTTGTTTATCTAATTTATTTTATCTAATTTATCTTATTAATATATTTTTTATCTAATACCTATTTATTTTAAATTTTTCAGTTTTTGCTAGATTTTTGTCTTTTCCATGTAGTTCTTGATGTATTGTGATTTATAAATGAAAACTGTCTTCTTCTTCTTGTCATCATGAATCCTTAGGATTTCCTCTACTCTAAGTGCCTGGGGATGACCTATCTTGACCCCAGTCTCTATATAGGTCTGTATTCTCTAATATGTAGCCATAAGTTACATGTGGCTGTTTAAATTTAAATATAAATTAAAATTAAATAAAATTTAAAATTCAGTTCCTTAATCACATTAGGTGCATTTCAGTTGCTCATCTTATTAGCCACATGGGCTGGTGGCTACTGTATTGGACAATGCAGAATTTAGAGAATATTTCCATGCTGCAGAAAGTTCTGTTGGACAGTGCTATTAGAGCTACATATTTGTGATTGTTTCAAGACTCGTTATTAATAAGGAACTACAGTCTCCATTTATAACTGAATCGTGGGATGGTTGAGAATTTTGCCAGTTGTTAGGAAAGGAGAAAATGGGTATAAACACATGAATTTTGGGAGCTAAGTTACCAATTCTCTTAAATTTATTTTCTTAAATGTAGATGAGGCATGGAGAAAGATATGGTTTATTCTTGAGCCCTTCAACTCTTAAAACACAGGTCCTTAACAAACTACCAGTGTTTTAGGTACTGAACCCTTCAAGGTTTTTAAGTTCTTAGGTATCACCTTCTATAGCAGGGGCTGGTTGACTTTTTCTACAAGAGAACCAGATCGTGAATATTTTAGGCTTTGCCAGGCCACATATTGTCTTTGTCACATATTCTTCATTATTTTGTTTTGTTTTTACAACCCTTTAAAAATATTAAACACTTGCTTACCTTGGACTAGATTGGACTTGCACACCATAGTTTGCTGACCCCTCCCTAGAGTGATTTCAAGTGACCCAAGTAATGAAGGGGTCATGAGTAATGTTTCTTAAATATATATAATGTACCAAAGCAGAACAGCTTGAGAATATAGTGATGGCTTCTACTTTTAAATATTAGCTAATGTGGAGAAGAAAGAGGGAACCAAATGGAAGGTGATTATATATTCAGGCAACTCCTTTAGCTCCTTCCTCCTTCCCCAAAAAAGACGAAAGTGAAACTATTTACATATGGGTATTATGTATTTATTTGTGAGCATTCACACCTGAAAACTGGCTTGTTGCTTATATTGTTTTGAATGTTGTGCTTTTTCATATTGCATCACACTTTACTAATTTCATCTCTTATAGATCGAGATAGACAATGGGGATGAGTTGACTGCAGAATTCCTTTATGAAGAAGTACATCCCAAGCAGCATGCACATAAGCAAAGTTTTGCAAAACCAAAAGGTCCTGCGGGAAAAAGAGGAATTCGAAGACTAATTAGGGGTCCAGCTGAAACTGAAGCCACTACTGATTAAAATCATTATATATTACAATACTAGTTTTTTTAAAAGTCAGCTTTTAGTACAGGAGAACTGAAATCATTCCATGTTGATATATAGTTGGGAAAAAATTGTACTTTTTGAAAAATAGCACTTTTCACTTCTGTGTGTTTTTAAAACTAATGTTATAGAAAACTCATGATTTCTATTTTTGAGTTAAAGCTAGAAAAGGGTTCAACGTAGTGATGTCTAATTTTGTCACACTGTTTTCATAGAAGTGTGATGATTCCACTCTTTCACATAATTCTTAAAATTTTATATAGTTGGGCCAATTCCAGAAAGTCTAGTGTCTCAAAGTAAGATATACTTATTACTCTTTAGTGAGACATCAAATTTTTTTGTTTAAGGGAGAGAGACCTTAAAATGTTCATACTACTTAATGAATATGTTAAGGACCAGGTTAGATTATTTTCTAAGCTGAAAACTTTGTGCCTAGGAAAAGGTGGAAAGTTGCTCACTCTGAGGAGCAGTGCTAACTCTCAGACTGTGGGATCATATACTTTTAGCAATAGTGCTTTATTGCAGCAGTCTTTTCTATTTGACTTTTGGGTTTTTTAAAAGGCATTAAAATTTCAGAAGATCAGCTCACTCTGAAACCTTAAGGGTACTAGATATTTTCTATACTGCAGGATTTCTGATGACATTGAAAGATGTGTTTAAACAGCTGTAGTAAATTCTCTTTCTAGTGCTTTAAAATATTTCCTTTTCAAAAGTAAGTCATTTCATAATAAGTAATGTGAGGCCAAATATTTATGTTCAGATTGAATATTAAATTAATATTCAAAAGCAAACAAAAGTAAAGTCAACAATAGTGAAAAAGTTTTAAACATCAAAATTGATTTTTCTCCGAAATCATATATTTATAGACTAATTGTGTTCTTTATCACTTTTGAGCAAATATTTGGATTTAATAAAATTGTTTTAAAGTCCTAGTACTTATCAGTCTAACACCGATAAACACTTAAGAATCTTGTTTCAATTTATATCTTATTTCAAAACACATTTAACTGTTTTCTAAAGCTTTGCCTTTTCAGTTACAACCTACAGAGATTTTGAGCCTCATTTTTCTCTGATACTTGAAAATAGAGGGAGCTAGAACACTTCATCATGTTCAATCTGTTAAACCTGCTGCAAGAGCCATCACTTTGAGGAGTTTTCTGAATGAACTGTGGGGATCCAGGATTTAGAATTTCTTAATCTAAACTTTATGCTGCATAAAACATATCAGAAATGCACATTTCATAGTATAAAATATGAAACACTCATTTTTACACCTTATTTAAGGTAATATATGCACCTTTCAGAAATTCAGTGTGTGTTCAAGTAAAACATATTAGAATAATTATGGTTGACAGATTTTTTTTTCTAGAATTAAGAATATTTGTGTGGGGTTTTGTTTATAAATAATCAGATTATAATATTTAAACATGGAAAATAATCAACACTAATGTTGCACTTGTTTACTAAAGATATACTTTAAGTTGTTCCATGGGTTACACACATAGACACAGATACACACAAATTACTGCATTGATAATCCTGGGGCTGTGTTGCATACCACAGCTGAAGCTGTTATTTTCAGTCAGGAAAAATGTTAACCTGCCGTGAAAGTATAAAATAATTTAGTAGTGAATGTTTTTCTGTACCATCCATGTGCAATTATACTCTAAATTCCACTACACTACATGAAAGTAAATGGACATTCCAGAATATAGATGTGATTATATAGTCTTAATTATTATTAAACCAATGATTGCTGAAAATCAGTGATGGATTTGTTATAGAGTATAACTCATTGTTTACAGTATGTTTTAGGTGGCATCATCATAATAGAAGGTGAATAAAAATATTCCCAATAAATTTATATAACAGTGAAGAATTACATGCCTTCTGTGGACATTTTATAAGTGCATTTTATATCGCAATAAAAGTTTTTTCTCTTTAAATTGTGTACTAGTATAACTTTTTTTTATAACTTTCTAGTATAACTTTTTTTTTAATGTTTGGATAATTCTGCATAATGCAATACCTGATGATAGGTTAGAAATCCCATTCATCTATTCATTTGTTAATCTGTCTGAATCAAAAAAGATTCTAAATAGCTTGAGACCTAGGTAAGTTGTGTCAATAGAGTGCTTAATTCAGATAAGAACTTCCCCCTGCTGCAGGAATAATGAAAATGCCACGAATGTTGTACAGTTCCTACTGAGCCAGAAGCACCCCAGTTCAATAGAGTGACCAGCATCCTTGATGCTAAACTCTTAAGATAGACTTGCTACGCATTCATCCAGCAAATAATTGAATGCACTCACGTTTGCAATTTAGTATCAAACTGATCCTTTTTAGGGCTGTATTAGAAAATGGATGTCTTTGGTAGCAGTTTTACAAAAGGTGGAGAAGTCCTTAAAAGGGCTGATTTTAAAAACCGTTTTTTAAAAGTTAAGTTCTCTAAGGCATTTCTACTCAGAACTAAAATAATGGGCCTGAGGTATGTGTTGTAGTCTGATATATTTTCTTTCACACATTTTGCATATACAGCCACACATCATAAGGACCGAAAGGTTCTTTTTTAAAAAGTACTGATTCTGGGGCTTCATATCCAGAGATTTTGATGCAGTAGGTGGGCCAGGGAGTCACATAGTTGCACAAATCATGTGTAGCCATGACTGGGTGCTGTTTGCCTTAAATGGTATAAATTGAGGGGTTTTCTTTCTCCATTCAGTCAACGAACTTGATGAGTATTATTGTGTACTGGTGTATAGCGGTTATGATTGCAGTAGCATAGAATAAAATCTAGTCCTTGCTGTTGTCCACTAGCTTCTGCATGACTTGGCCCATGGCTCGCTCCACCTCCCTTGCTCAGTCTGCTCCAGCTCGGCTGCTAGCTGTACCCCTAAAGGATCATTGCTAGTTTGGGAACATTGAATGTGCTCTTCCCACGCTGGATCACTAATCCAATATCTACATGTCTTTCTCCCTCACTTAATGCAGGTCTCTGCTCAAGTGTCATCTCCTTAGAGAGGTCTTCCCTGACCCCCCAAGCTGATTGTACTCCCTGTCCCTCTTTCGCCTTAATCCTGCTCTGTTTTTCCTCACAGCGCTTAGGAATTATATATCTATACATATGTTATTTGTTTCCTCCACTAAAATACAAGCTCAGTTGGGGGAAGGGACCTTGTTTTCTTCACTGCTGCATCCTCAGCACCTAGAACAGTGTCTAAGACATACATAGTGGATACTTGTTTTGTTGAATGAATAAAAGAATGAGAGATTTTACCTTTCCTTGTAGAACAGGGGACAGGAACACATTCCAGCAGTGGTAGGTGCCGCACAGAGGCTCTGGCCTCCGTCACCATATTTCTGGCCAAAGCAAACACGACTAGACAGACAGAGCCTCTTGCCCTCTGAAGACCATGGTTTTTACCACAAAAGACTCCAGTACTGACTCATTGCTGAGCAGCATGTGCCTTCCAGTGGGGATCCTCATTCAGCCGACTCTGCTTTGGAAAGACCAAGACCGGCCTCTACTCAATTGCTAGTGCTGATAGACCACCATCTGCACTTGCTAGGATTCAGCCAGGCTGTAGTTTCTTATAGAACTCTGGATGCTTAATGAGAAGAGGCAAGCCATGAACAGGGGTTAAATTAATTTCTTTCCTATTCCCAAGCTGTATGGATCAGACAACACGGGTCATATCTTTACGTATGTGTGGGTACGTGTGATGCTGCCACCTACCGGCTATATGACTGAAATCAGTTACGTATTGCTACCCAGTTACGTATTGCTACCACACTAATGCGTAACAAACTACCCCAAAATGTAGTTGTTTAAAACAACAGCAATCATTTTTCACAAGTCTACGGTTGACCGACTTCTCTCCTATATCCGTGGTCACCCGGCAGGTTGGCTGGTCTGGGAGGACCTCACCTGAGATGACTTGTCTCTGCTCCGCATGGTCTCTCAGCTGCTGCATGTTAGTCTGGGCTTGTTCTCAGGGCCGCAGCAGCATTCCAAGAGAGAGAGACAAGTAATGCTCAAGAGCCCTTGAGGCTCAGGCTCGGAATTGAAATATCATTTTGCTGCATTCTATTGATCAAAACAAGTTACAAGGCCATCTGGATCTAAGGATTGGGGAAATAGACTTTACCTCGTGATGGGAAGAATTACAAAACCATATTGCAAAGGGCATGGATATGGGGAAGAGTGAAGAATCGTAATCTAACAAACACAATGAACATGAGGAAGAAGCTACTTAACCCTTTGGGCATCAATTTTTTCAATAAGGAAAAGCATAGAACCTATGTTATGTTTATTAAATGAGATCATGCTCTTAACATAATGCTTGGCACAACAGTCAGCTCTCAACAAATGACAGAGAAGATGGTTATGATCAATATGATGACATAGATAGAGCGTAGCGGTAAAGGTTACAGACTGATGCCGGATGCCTGAGTTAAAATCCCAGCTCTGCAATTTATTAGCTGCACAGTCTTGGGCAAATTACTTCACTTCAATTCCCTCATCTGAAAAATGTAGATAAATAATGTTACCAAAGTCATAGGATTGTTATGAGGATTAAATAAGTTAATAAAGTGAAAACACTTTGAACAGTGCTCATAATTGTTTAGTAAAAACAGTGTAACATATAACTTTTAAAAATTACAAGTTTATAAATTAACATATATAACATTATTAATTATTATTGGAATATTATGGGAACGCAGAGGAGAGGCACCTATTTCTACCTGGGGAATCAGAAAAGACTTTGTAGAGTAGATACTTGCACTGAATCTTAAAGAACTGATAAGAGTTTGCCAGATGGACAAGGGAGGTAAGGGCATTCCAAGCAGAGTAGAAGGATGGACAGTGTGCACAAATACGCAGAGAGCCATGCCATGGTCAAGAAATTCCAAGGGGTGCAGTTTGGTTGGGAGAAAAGCATATTTCAGGCCAGTAGGCTAAAAAGGAGAACTAGAAAAATTTAGTCATTTGCATATGAACAATATTTGAAACTCTATCATTAGACAACATAGATAGGTCCAGAAAGAAGGGAAGAGTACCCAGGATAGAATCATCAATATTAATAGAGTAGAGGCGGCAGAGAAGCATTCAAAAGAAGCTGCAGAACACTCAGAGAGGCAGGAGAAAAACCAGAGAGCCAAGAGAAAAGAAAGCTTCAAGAAAGCTTTCGGAATTTTACTCAAATTAAAATGAAACTAGGTGACTTCTGCTTTCACTAAGAGCAGATCAAGTAATTCACATCAAACCTCCCCCTGAGGAAACTAGGGAAAAATTCTGCTCCTAGCATCAGTGTTAAGAAATATAGAAGCAAGATCCAGGAGAAGATAGAAATGCAGAGATGAATCCAGCATCTGGTGGCTGCTGTGTCCCTGGGGGATTTGCCAGTTCTGGAAGAAGCTATGAACAGATGTGTATATGTATTTGTTTGAGTACCTGTTTTCAGTTCTTCTGGATATACACACAGGTGTGGAATTGCTGTGTCATATGGTAATTCTATGTTTAACTCTTTGAGGAATTACCAAGCTGCTCTCCACAATAGCTGCACCATTTCCATTCCCATCAGCAATGTACAAGGGTTCCAGTTTCCCCACATCCTCACTAACAATGGTTATTTTCCATTTACTTATTTCTTATTATAGCCATCCTAGTGGGTGTGAAGTAGTATTTCATTGTGGTTTTGATTTGAATTTCCCTAATGACTAATGCTGTTGAGCATCTTTTCATGTGATTATTGGCCATTTGTATATCTTCCTTGGAGAAATTTCTGTTCAGATCCTTTGCCTATTTTTTAATTGAGTTATTTGCATTTTTATTATTGAAATGTAAGAGTGCTTTATATATTCTTGATAGTAGATTCTCAAATATCCCATTCTGTGGATTGTCTTTTTGCTTGCTTTTTTTTTTTTTTGTTAGGAAGATTGGCCCTGAGCTAACATCTGCCAATCCTCCTCTTTTTGCCAAGGAAGACTGGCCCTGGGCTAACATCCATGCCCATCTTCCTCCACTTTATATGGGTTGCCGCCACAGCACGCCTGACAAGCAATGCATCAGTGCGCACCAGGGATCCGAACCGGCGAACCCCGGACTGCTGCAGCAGAGTGCGCGCACTTAACCGCTTGCGCCACTGGGCCGGCCTCAGTCTTTTTGCTTTCTTGATAACATCCTTTTATACACTAAAGGTTTAAATTTTGATGAAATCCAATTTATCCTTTTTTTTTTCTGCTTGTGCTTTTGGTGTCATATCTAAGAAACTGTTGCCTAATCCAAGCACATGAATATTTACACCTGTGTTTTCTTCTAAGAGTTTTGTAATTATAGCTCTTACCTTTAGGTACTCCATCCATTTTGAGTTAATTTTTGTATGTGATGTGAGGTAGGGGTCCAACTTCATTCTTTTGCATGTAAATATCCAGTTGTCCCAGTACCATCTATTGAAAGACTATTTTTCCCCCACTGAATGGTCTTGGCAAATCAATGGACTATATATGTGAAAGTTTATTTTTGGACTCTCAATTCCATGTCATTGATCCATATGTCTATTCTTACACCAGTAGCACACTGTCTTGATTACTTAGCTTTGTAATTGGGAAGTGTGAGTCCTCCAGCTTTGTTCTTTTTTTTAAAGGTAATTTTGGCTATTCTATAAGATGTTAACTCTGCTTTTCTTGGTAGATGTCCTGTATCAGGTTGAAGAAGTAACCTTCTATTCTTAATTTGTGATTTTATTGTGAAAGAGTATTAGATTTTGTGAAATGCTTTCTTTGAACCTATTGATATGATCATGTGGATTTTGTCTTTTATTCTATTAAAATGATGTATTATAGTTACTAATTTTTGTGTGTTGAACCAACCTTGCATTCCCGGGATAAATTCTACTTTATTTTGGTGCCTAATCCTTTTTATATGTTGCTAGATTCAATTTTC